AAGAAAGCTAAGAAGGAAACAAAAAGACCAGAACACATCCTCTCCAGCAGACAAAAGCCAGATAAGCAGGGATTAACACCAGACAAACAATCAAGCAGAAAACAATACCGTAATCAAGGAACTACCAAAGAGAAAACCCTCACCCCCCACCAACACTGGCAGGACAAGCTACTGCATATAAACAGGGAGCAAACCCCACACTCAGTCACGCTGAAGATGTTACCTAGTCAGGTAATTAAACATCTGCAAGCAAACAACCAAGCTTCAAAAAGAAAAAAAAAGAGTGACCAAATCAGACAGGAAAAAGGAGTACACAATAGTGACAACATTCAATATACTCTGTGGATAGAATACAGTTAAGTTTTTACACCAAAACACTCCCTGAGTTGTGGTTAATCAGTTATAATTCTGCTTAGAGAGGAAAAGCAATTCTTTAACATTTAGGAGCCTTTCACTTGCAATGTTCTTTCCCTGCTGAATTCCTGCTAAAACAGTGATATGCTTTCAGCAATAATAAAGATAAATTCATTTAGAAGCATTTGTTCCTCTGGTATTTCTAGGCAATGACCTAGAGATTTAAGGAACCGTGATTCAAATATGGGTTTGGGCATTCCAGGAGTAATCTGATTTCTTTTGTTTTCCAAACTGTAAGCTGCTATCAGATTTTGGAAATGGACTGTGATATTCCAAAGAAGCATAAATCTGAGATTTTCATGGCATTCTGGACTAGTTCTTTCTAAACCGTGACACATTGCCATCCTAACTGCAAGAACTGTGATCAAAAGGATCTATTTTGTTTTTTGCTTTTTTAATTTTTTTTCTTTATATTTTTGAAAAACCTGGCATTCCCATAAAAATTCTAATCCCTTTTCTCCTATGTCTGGGCGGTGCCATTCTAGCTACATACCAACAGCCTTCACAGCTTGAATAGCAGGAAACAAAGGGAGTGATTCTGCACAGAAAAGCAACTTCAGGAATGTGAAATGTACTGTAATTAACACATTAATCCTTAGGTTACAGTCTATCCAGCTCTGCATAGTGTCTAAGCATCAAATGGGAGAGACAAAGACCAAAGTGATAATACCTGCCAAATCATAGATGTTTTACACTTTCCTTTTGTCATGGCTTCAGTTGCTTTATAACCAGAATCTCATATGAACTGGCAGCAGCTATACCATGTGCTAATTATTTCATACTAGTTGATGGAATGAATTCTGGAAAATGTGTTTTTGTTAATGGAAGCAAAATATGCAATACCTTCTGTGTGCTAATGGAGAACAAATGATATGAGGCATATCACATCCATTGTAAGCCCTGTTTACAAAATTGCTAAATGCTCACTTTTGCCAAAAAATGTTGTTATAAAATAGTTTTCATGACTACACACACACACATACACACACACACACATGTATATGTTAACAGACTCACCTTCCTTCATTAACCTTTGCTTTGTCTCCAAGGCATTTGAAGTTTTCAATGTAACCAGCACTGCAGTTGATACGGTGCCAATCCGGTCTGCATATGTCCAGAAAGTGAGGCCTCAGCCTCCCTATAGAGTATTTGGCAATGTCTGTCAAAGATTGGCTAACAGCTGCACCAAAAAGGAATGTTCCCAGAGCCTTGTAAATAGCAGCAATGTAGTTATTTCGCACAAATGAATTAGAGTGCAAACAGTTGTGATATACCGAAAGGACCTCTCCTATGATTATCTGGAATAAAAAAGAAAAGAATTAAAAAAAGAATTGTAAGTACGAACATGCTGCATGCTTAGGTCTGAATATGGGCTTCCAATTAATTAGCTAATAATTAAGCCAGAAATATATTTTATAAAACATTTAGATGACTAGTGATCAAAGACACAGTGAAGGAAATAGGAACTTTTGTCTTTTTTGCCCTTTTGTGTGTACAAAGTGGAGTTTTAATGAACAGATAACATGAACTAGAAACCTTCCCCTCTATCATTGCCACCAGACAAAACACTGCTTCCCAGAAAACCCAGCAATAGTACCATCAGCAAAGAGCACATTTAACTTTTCATCAAGTTTCCACTCATTCTTAACCTTTTACTCAAAAGAAATGGTTTATTTGCCAAGAACATCATTCTGGAAATTCAGGAACCAAGTGAAAGGGCTAGACAACAGTGTTCTTGCCAGAGATGTTAAAGGCCAACTTTTAAACATGGGAACCTCCCAGGCTTCAGCTACATGGAATCTTTTAAACAGGACGGGCTTCCTTCAGGATATAATAGCTTTCTGAAACAAAAACAAAGGTGCCAGAGGTAGAAATGTAGAAGTATGGAAAATAACATTTTATAGTGTTGGCGTTCACCTTGGCTGGAAGCCTTTATGCTTATCTTTTATAACTGAGACATTTTTTTATATCCCCACTTCTGTTCTTGGCAAGCTTTACTCTAAATCAGATGTTACTGAACTACAATTCCAAGGAGCCTCAGCAAGCATGAGCAAAGGTGACAGACAATGGGAAGTGGAGGTCTGCAATATTTCAAGGGCTACAAGTTCCCATCCCTGTTGTAAATAATAACTGTTCTAAGGAGCAGTTGGGTTATAACGGGATTCAGATGGACAAGACTACAAACAAATCTTTCCATTAATGCAAATCTCTAGCCAAGGCCTAATATTAAGTATTATTAAATAAAAAGAGCATATTTTATACACACACACACACACACATACAGTATACATCATTTTATTAAAAATTACAATTGCAAAGATAAAAACTAATACAAACTAAAAAAAATAAAAGAAAAAGAAAAAATAGAAGGTGTAGAAAAAAAGAAAAATAGAAAGAAAAATAGAAAAGAAAGGAATAAGAACCTAGTAAAGAAAAAGAAGAGAAACATATAAAGAAATGACTCCCCCCTTCATCACAAGAAGTATAAACAATTTTACTAACTTATTACCTTCTCTTAAAATACAACAAATGACCTCTTGTTCCCATATCCCATCTCTTACTATAAACAAATCCTTAAAGCCTTGTCGTTGTAGTCCTGATCAAAAAGTCCACTGAGAGTTACCATAAATAACAACCTATCTATTTTAACCTTGATTAAAAAAAAACTTTTATATTCCTTCCTTTTACTTTTAACAATCTTGATCTTTAGTCCCTTGAAATAATGTCCTAGAACTTGATTTCTTTTCATTTTTTCTTTGTCCCTTCTCACAAA